GGGGGGGGGAGGGAGGGAGGGAGGTCTGCAGCCACCCCAAATCCTCCCTCCCAGCACCACTGCCGCCCGCTCCAAGCACAGCATGGTTCAGCCCCCACCCCCACCCACTGGGAAGAGCCCAGCGTGGCCCTTGGCCCCAGCCTGCAGCTGCAGCCTGCCTCGTCCTGCGCAGACCCAGGGGCACACGCTCCCCACCCCCCATGCCCTCCTAGGATGCATGCAGCAGCAGGGGCCACTCCCCACCTGTGCCCCCCAGCTGATCCACAGCTCCATCCTGCACCCCATCCTGCCCCTGGCTGGCAACACCTACTCGAACCCCACTCCCTCCCTCACCACAGGAGGCACTGATCTGTTCTCTTCCCCCACACCCCTTCTCTCCCCGCTCCTCTTCCATCACAACAGACTTACCAGCTGGATGCAGCTGCATGGGAAAATCAGATCGGTATTGGCCAATATGCCTCCTTAAAAATCAGCTATCAGTATCAGCCCCCCAAAATCTCTATCGGTGCACCCCTACTGTTTAATCATATTTTAATCCAGGCTCCATTTCTAAATCTATCAAGACATTTATAACTATGTTACAGACCTAAGAAGTATGTGCTATAGACAGTCCTAAGCACAACCACAGAAGGTGCTGTATAGACTGCTGTAAGTCTTAGCTAAAATCTGCCTTTGGACCTGCTGAACTTTGTAACTGTGGGGCAAAGGCTGCCATAGAATTCAGGATCCTTTGGCCCCACTAGTCTTTTGGCCTTTGGCCATCAGTGACAAGCATGGCCCATTACATTTTCTTTAAAGCAAGCCCCAAACTCTGGTCACATGGTCAGCTTTATGACTGCTTCAATATAAGATATTTGGCAAATTTCTGCTGTACCTGCTGCTTCTCCCCCCCAAAAGACAAGAGTTCTTACCAAGCTACAATGGTCAAATAAAAACAGATATTAGTCTGATTAGTTACAATAACTGCGGAATTCTGGTAAGTCACCAATGTTGCCAAGGCAGATGCTATCAGTGTTGTTATCTGACTCCTTTACTGTTGTTCATGGGTTAGGTGACACCAGTCATGTCAGATTTCCTCAGTTTGGCTGGCCGGTGCGTGCACTCGTGTGCTGTTGGAATACCATCCATGATGCTGGGCCCTTAACAACCACACTGTTAGAAGGAAACTGCAGACTTCAGTTTTCGGTGACAAAGAATGTAGCCAGATTTACTGTCCACAAACAAGCTGGTACACGGTGCTAGCTGGCTCAGTTGCAAATCTAGCATGGACATGAACATAACCCCTAAGCCAGACACAAAGTATTAAGAGTTTGAGGACTCTTTTTTAAACAATCAAAACTTTGTATTTACAGCAGACACATCCTAGTTCTCACAGATTACTAAAACACCTTTAGCTGACATCATCCACATTGTAATTCTTACCAGTTAGTGAGCCCTTGCCACCAGACAGAGACACCTGTTTTCCAGGTCACTCTGATCTTTGTTTTGGTGTCCTGTACTGGTCTTAATTTACTCTTTGTTGACATTGGAGCCTTTCTGTTGACCTTCTAAGACTAATGAGCTACTTTCTGAGCATTTCTGTGCACCTGTATACAGCATGCCAAGTTTCATATTCACTGGAGCCATTCATTCATCAGTTGATATTATCTGTGACTCTGTACGACTTGTATATGTACCAATTAATTGTTGTATTAATCCATACTCCAACAAATAACAAGTTTCTAGTAGCTTATTGTACTTTTCCTAACTTTTAGGATAACATGGATCTGATTCTAACTCTTTGGATTCTGATCCTGAAAAAAATACTGCACTGACTATGCAAAAGGGAAACAAAAGATGGTCTGCAGAATTTTGAAAACAGAAGCTGCAGTCTTTATACAAATGCCTTGCTGTGAAAATAGATATTTAGCAACAGCAGGCAGACAAATCAAATTGGCTGGGTGGAAACAGTGGCTATGGACAGAAGCAGAGAAAGGTACTGAAACTGCTAGCTGGTGGCAGGACTCAAAAGCAAAAAGCAGCATCAGGCATGATCCACAAAGTCATACCATTAACATTTAATCTTCAGTTAAACTGGCACAAGCTCTAACAGTACATTCACACCACCTGTATCACACCCAGGAGTCTTGGGACACAAGAAGGGAACAAGGCCTATGGATAATTCTACCAAGAATCTCAGAGCATTCTCTTTCACAGCAGCCATGAGAGTGAATGTGACTTGGGCACTGCCCCGGATAGTGTTCCATATCTGCTTGGGGCTACCAGGTCTCTATAGCAACAATTTCCAAACCCAGTTTGTTCTTATATGATTGAGAAGGTGGACATTACAGAAGAAGTGATAAATTGGAGAAGAAAAATATACTGTAGAGAAACAGTGAGGAGAAGTGAGAGAGGAAAGGAAAGAAGGTAGAGGGCCCAAAAGGGAAAGAGAGAGGAGGTAAGAGAACATAAGATGAGAGAAAAGAAAAAGAAGAGGACTCTAAAGATGACTCAGACAGGTAAATGATAGAACAAGATCAAAAAAGAAAATATGATACCTCTCACTTTTATGAGCAGGGTTCACTGACCAACATTTAGTAAATATATGCTAAACAAGTATCACTGATATTAGCAGAACAAATCATTTGACCATTGCAGAACATATTAGCAGAACATATCATTTAGCATACGTGCTATTCAGTGAAGATTAACAAAATCACTGACTAACATAATCAAACAATAGTCATTTTTTTTCTGCTCAGTGTCTTGATCTAGTGCTAATGCCACATTTAAAATGTATTAAATAGAAAATCTCTTAGTGGCATCCCAGTCACAGGGCTATGGTTTGAGCAGCACCACTTTTGTAATGTAGGGATGTTGTGGCTCAGATTTTTTTTTACTCTATCTTGTATGCTTAATCTTTGAGCGGGTAGCTATCAGCTTTTCAAGCCCTGCATCCTGTCCATTACTTTTTCTGTGGGACCCTGTCTGCAGTAAAGGGCACTGCCACCAGACATTGCTGCTGCTTCTATTCTCTGCCTGGCTCATTCTGCATTTTCTCTCCTGACAAAGCATGTCAAGTGTCAGACATAACAGCAGTCTTCACTCTGCTTGGCAAGTTTATGAGATAAAACATGCAGAGAGATCAGAAACACTCAAAAGGCATTAAAAATATATATATACAATGGTATGGGTGACCAGGGTCCTCTACAAGAACAGAGGAAAGAGACTGATAAGTGGTCTCCTCAGTAACCAGAAAGTCTCTCCTCACTTGCTCAACAGTCAATGGTAGTAATGGGAAAAATGTTGTGTCCTGGTTGCAATTTAGAGAAAAGGGCACTGGCATGAATTTATTGCCATCAGCAACTTGGAAACCAAAATAAATGAAGGTATGTTCCCTTATTTCTTAATGTTCCCTGGACTGTTTTAACTGGTCTTTTGATGCAAAACCAACAAATACAACAAAAAATAGCTAAACAAATAACAGTGATCATTTCCACCAGTACCATTACATAATAGATAGGAAGAACTGAGGGGACAAAGATTACAAAAGCAGATACTGATGGATGCAGTGCACTTGCTTAAGCTGTAATCACAATGGAAGCTCACTCAACACAAAAGATAATAGCACATTTTCCCC